TTCGACATTAATGAATCAATTTTGAAATTAGAGGACATCAGAAAAATACCAATACTTTCCATTACCCCCATGAATACGAATACTTTCCATTACTTATTCATATTGCAAAGAATTAAAAAAACTTTAATGGAAGAGGCGCAAGGGTTACCCGCTCTGGCTTATCCACGCTTCCCATTCCTCATCACAGAACAACTGTTTAAAATAAATCATTTTTAGTGACATTATGCTGCCTATTCTAAGAAAAGATGACAACTCCCTATCAAAGAACATCTTGAGGAATAACCCAGAAGGTAGAAGACCCCTTGGAAGACCGAAACTTAGATGGTTCGACCAAGTGGAGAAAGACCTGAGGAAGCTAGGGAGAAGGAAGGAAGATGCAAGAAGCAGAGACCTATGGAGGCAGTGTGTTGGGGAGGCCAAGTACCATCTAGGGTACCAGAGGCCACAGCAGTAACAGTAGTAGTATGCTGCCTATGGAACTCCATAACTTTTCCCATCAAATCCATAGAAGACCGAAACCAACTGATGGTGGCGCTGACAGAAAATTACCTTTACTGGATGGCCGTGGTTTGGTGCGATGTTGTGTGCGTTAGACCTAGTTGCAGCAGAAGGTGTGGTGTATGTGTGTGTGACTGTATGTTAGGGAAGATGAATAAAATGTATCCTATCTATTTTATTACTTGTTATGTTACAAAATTTCTTGTATTTTTTGTTAATATTATGTTGTTATTATTAGTTTTTTAGAGGTTAAGTGTAAGAAAGGACCTAAGTTCACTCAATAAAGGATTTTCATTTCATTTCACTTAATTTCACCCCTACACCACAATGTCCATTAAACATTCGTACGATACCAAGGCTGTAGGCTAAAACAAGAGGTAAAACATAGAGATTTACAGATACCAAACTAGTAGGGGAGATTTCCAAGACAGATATAGATAAAATATGGACAACTCATTTTTAGCAAATTTATAGCTATTACCATAGGGGTGGCACGGTAAGACCCGTCGATGTATAATCGATGGTAAGACCTTGATCCGGGATCGATTTACTTTTTAATTTTGATGTCCCCAGAGGCCAAAAACACCATCTGTTCAAAATTTTATGTTTATATATATACAGGGTGTCTCGGAACTCTCTGTAACCCTTTTGGATATTTGTTCCTTAGGTCAAAACAAAGTAAAAACACCATATAAACATGGGTCTAAGATGCCTGATTTTCTGTATGTGATTTTCACAAATGAATCCATAACTAACTTACCAATTTATTAAGCGATTTACTTGAAACTTGGTACGTAAGTAGTGACAGATAAGTATAATCTTTGCACAAAGTATCAGATTTATAAACTACTAGCTGTAACCCGCGGTCTTTGCCCCGTTTAACTTCTTAATTTTCAAGATTATCTCGTTCGCATGGCTCAATCACGTCCTGGTTGAAGTTTTACTCACTCACCTTTAGGTTGGAGCTCGTTCGCTACGCTCACTCACCTTTAGGTTGGAGCTCGTTCGCTGCGCTCACTTGCCTTCAGGTTAGCTCGTTCGCTACGCTAACTCGCCTCCAGGTTGAAGTTCGTTCGCTACGCTCACTCACCTTTTGGTTGCAAATTAGCTGTTGTCATAGATGTAAAAGAAATAATAGTGCTGCACCCTGTTGGTAATTTTTGTAACTTTAATGCTATTGAACATCACAGAACAGAACCAACTTGTTTAATTGAAACAGCTGTTAACACTTAAAGTGCCGTTGACATGTTTGAACATGAAAATTGCATTTATTTCAATGTTAAGCAATGGCGGGAATTCCCGTCATCAGCACCCAACGTGTTAAGATTCAATAATTTCATTTCTAATAAGGTTAACATGGGAAACTCCAGAGCCACTGGGGCGGAGCCCGAAAGGATATTTGAAATAAGAATATGCCTATATGTTAATCGGGAATGTGAGCTATCATCATGCCAAATTTCAGCCCAATCCGACCAGTATTTTTCGCGTTCACTTATCACAAACATATATCCATACATCCATCCATACATCCATACATCCAAACTTTCTCATTTATAATATTAGTAGGATACCAATCCAAAATGGCGGGCATTTTATTTTTTCTAACTTAAACATCTTTAATATAAGTTATATCAAAAACTATCAAGAGTATGAGTCAATAGAAAATGTTATGACTAATGCAACTGCGTACTCAAGTTGTACTCAAAGAATGATTAATAAACAACCAGAATATAACAACTTATTCAAGACCTACAATAACTCATGAACAAGACGTGGCGCAGTGAAATATTGGGAACAAATTTAATCATCATAACATTCATATACACGGTCTCACAAAAAACCCCAGAGATACCTAACTGTGATACAACTTCTGGAAAGTTAACTAACTAACTGGTGGTTGTTTTTGGCTTGTTGTTAGGTGTTGTAAGGCCTAACTATTACATACCTTCTCTTGCAGTTCATTTATATCTACTACATAATAAGTTTTGCCAAATATGGCATTTTAAAGTGGTTTACAGAAACATTATATCCATAATGGACTCTTCAAATTGTAATTTTTTTATGGGGACTGTTGCGCAACTTACTCGGAGACTCTGAAGTCAAGGGACAGTTGCGCAGGAGTGTGCACACAGGCAACTGTTTAAGACAAAAATTGGACATTGCAGTATGGATTTAAATGATACAGCAATAGTTATGTACTCTCTGATATTGAAATTTTGCGCGCAAAAAAAGAAGAGGATTAGATTGTTCTAATCTTTAGTAACTGCCTAGGATACCTCCTTCCACAACGTCTTCTTCAAATTAATATCAGCATAGTCTTTCAATGACTTTAAACATAAAGTCGGCCTCTTTTCAACATCATAAATTAATTATTCAACTTCCTCAACTCATACTTAAAAATGTACTTTTTTCCAAACTAACTTTACACAACACAAGTGACACTATGTTACTGTGGGTACCATGAGTAGCCAACTGAGACTGAACGACACTAGTCGTATGTGTGAGCGTCTAGAATTTTTTCGATGGACACCAAGCCTGGAGCGACAGTCCTGCGACATTTGAGTCGTGGAGCTGTCTGGCAAATTGAGTCCGGAAACAACGGTTGCAACAGTTGCATGACTGTCCCTCAACTGTTTTCTTGGTTTGTGCACTCCAATTTAAAACAATGTTGAACATTTTGGTTGGTCAACTGTTGATAAACTCAAAGGCGCAGAAAAAATATACATTGTAACACACAACGAATAAAAAAATCAAACATGACAGCCTGCAACACTTAACCCTCCACACCCCCCACTGACAGCTGTGATGTTCTGGTTTGTCCCTTCCTCAAATTCAACTCTCCTGTCTGAGCTAACTACCAGACTGGACTTATTTCTTCTCTAGAGAGTTCAAGTCCGTGCCATCAGGATTCTTGGCTGCAAAATGGGATATCGCTAGGCTGCTGCTCCTGTGGTTCTCATCAGAACTCAGTTCAATCCATGTAGTTTGGAAGATCAAAGGAAAGTGTCACACACTATGATTCTCATAAAGATTGTAAATGGGACATCAGTTGTCCTGAGTTGTTGGGAGGAATACACATCGTTCTACATTCCAGATCGCACAAGATCTAAGGAACTATCTGTTTGTACAAAGGTAAGGCTTTTTAACACTTGTTCGTTCTCATTCCTCCATAATTTCGCCTTGGATCCAATAAAATTCTTTTAAATATTGAAAAATTTCTCAAAAGGGCCAATTTGGGGGTTAGGTGTTTTTTTTTAGAAATTTTAAAACGTTTTTATTAGCTCGCTTTCTTGTCCGGTACAAATTTTGCAAGTAATTTTATACTAACTTTCCGATGACTTGAAACTTGAAACATAGCTCACAAATGGATGACAATGCAATATTATATCATTTAATTTTCATATTTCCCTTGGGCTACGCCCCATGGGCTTGTTTTTATTAACTCGCTTTCTTGCAAATGTCGATACTTCCCGATGAGCTAGAGACTTGAAATTTGAAACATAGCTCACAAATGCATGACAATGCAATATTATATCATTTAATTTTCATATTTCCCTTGGGCTACGTCCCAGGGGCTTCCAAATTATCCGTGTTTACATTTTGAAAGAATGTTAATATATCAATTAATTTAAGACAGCTGTAAATATTTAAATATGACATTTTTATGGTATAGCCTCTGGATCACTGATTTTTACAATAAAAGGTTTAAATTACCTGTATCCGTCAAGTGATCCTGGTTTGTAGTTAATTGACTACGGCCGTTTCATGTTGTAAAAACACATCTTCAGATCTTCAAACGTACATTGATTTAATCCATGGAATGGTCGTCATAAGGTTTAAAGTTCACAAAAATAACACATACACGTACACAAAAACATTAAAACATAAATTGGCCAAAACAAAAATACGAAAAACGCGTGATAGGCATCGGACACGTACGGCGCCGCTAGAAGGTAGGTCATGACTGTCCAACGAAAACACTAACTTGCATGGTTTATGTGATACATCAATTATTTAAAGGTCTAATCTTTCCGATCATTCTGGTGCAAAAAAAAATAATTTTCTTTATCAGTATTTACAGGGTGGGTCAAAACGATTTATTACGGCAATTTCGGCAAGGCCAAATTAGGGAAAAATGAGAACAAACAAGCGAGCCTTACCTTTGTACACAACAGATATGGACAGATTTAAAATAAACACCTGTATTAGCGTTTCCAAGACTATTTTTCACGGAATTATAACATTTTACTTTTAATAACAATTAATTCAAGAGGTTAAATAACTGGTTGCCAAAGTGGCTATTTAATAACAACAAAATAGTTTTTACACTTTCTGTGAAGCCCTGCATCACTAATTTTGTACATTTGAGTAGGACGATGGAAAGATTGCCTTGTGTGGTGAAATAGTGTAAGCTTACTTTAGCAATCGAGAAAAGCAAAAAGATAATTAAGAACAGAAAACAGATTAGGAGGTTGCAAAGAACACAGGGTTTTATGTGAGAGTCACTTTTATATTATTTTTATTTATAAAGTAATAAATACAAAATCTAACTTATTTAATTTACAAAGATAAAACTCAAAATAAAGCCAACAACTGTAGAGGTGAAACGAAAGACAAAATCTCTTTAAATTACACCATATCAAGATAATTCAAACAAATTTATTCTCTTCCTAGTTTTCTCCTCTTCGAATAAATCCTGTAAATAAATAAATTATTAATTTAAAATCATTGATCATCAAAACAGTTAACATCCTCCATAGGTGACATTCGATTACCATGTACACAGAAAAGTAGCTTTCTAGTAATGACAGGCCAAATTTCGTCGTGATATCTCTTCTCGTTTTAAAGTTATAATAAAGTCGTCATAAGACTTAACTGTCACCCTGTAGGCCTATATATATTCTAAAAAATTAATGTTCTCTTAGTTTTTGTTACTGAGATAGTTTATGTTCCATAAAAGATGCTCTAGCTTAGAATAAATTATTGTCCTATTAGTTTGAATTGGTTAAAAAGTTGTCGTATCCATATTTAGCAGCACACTCTATATTCTATACTTTGCACTTAGGGATCTCAAATTCCGGTCAATTTTTTATAACCAAAAATCCCGGGATTGGCATCTTTTAATCCCGGCATCATTGAGATTACAAAACCTTTATTATTATTTATTATTTTTGATATTTTTGAGGAGTTAATAAAAAAGTAGATTAAAAGTAAATAAAAGTACGTCGTAACAATACTAGAAACATAAATGTTTACTTACAGGACGGTTAATACATATAAAAGATGGTAAGTAGTGATCTATTTCGATTAGACACTTTGATCATCATTAAACTCAATAGGCGAAAGTAATGTAGGCTATATGTTTCAAGTGTTATGAGACATATTTTTATTTACTTCCATCAATTTTCAATGCTTTAACTTACACAAATGTACTTAAGGCTATAAAAAAGGCAACTGAAGACGTTCGCTGTGGGCCACTCACCGGGGAGTGTGCTAGTTCCTTTCGGCCATGTTCCATTCAATTTATGCGCAACAGAACACCGGGAAGAATTTAGCTAGGAATTCAGCGTTATTATGGTGTAGGTTGGAAGTAAATCTTCCTGTAAAATGCCCTTCTAGCAAGCTTATAAATCAACTTGTTGTCCCATCTTTCTCCCTCCAATTGGCAATACAACGGGACTGGCTAGTTCCATACAAGTGCTGCTATCTATGAGTGTTTGATCAAACTATGTTGAATCTTGTCGTAACACAGCATATAACTGCACGTCATTTACTATTTGTCAGACCGAAATATTTGAAAGCCAAACAGATTCGCTCCACGCTGCGCCACACCGGGGGCTACGCTTGCCATTGGTGGCCCGCAGCGAATGTGTTAAATATTTGTCCACTTTAAATATATGTTAAATACTTACAATTTCGTCTAAAGCATCCAAGTGCCAAGGATAGCGTCCTTGATGGAGTCAACATATTGAGCCGGCACCCAGTAGACCCAGTAGCGCGAGGCCTCGGTGGTGCCCATCTGTAAACCCTGGAACACCAATGGACATTAATGTGAGTGGCGTCATTGACTTAACGTTTACTAGACAGGATGATGAGATTAGAGATTTGTATGACCCTGACTCAGCAGAGTGTTAAGTTTAAGTCAACAAATGAGTGTTGAATGAATGTGATGGCAACTTTGTTACCAATCGAGATCTGCTGGTTCTTGAGTATGGATAACTTACTAAAACCCAATGATCCAATTACAGCTTGGACCAGTTTGGCCAGTGGATCAGTTTGGTTAGTGTCAATTTTCTGATTAGTAGTTTAATGTGTGAACAAATAAAAAGTATTTCTTGACAAGGAGGCTTCTTTGCTTCTGTCTGTAAATCAAAATTTGCATAAACAAGATGCTTTTGACTTTTTTTTCAAATTAGGCCCAGCATTGTCAAATAATTCCAGTCTACTGTAACGGTAGGGTACCTGCGGGCTAACTGGAGGTACCCTACAGGCGGTTCATTTACACACAACTTGGTCCGTGCTCACAGACCATTTTTGGATTTTTCGGAGTCTGTTGCAAAAAGTTTAAAACGTTCTGCTTTGGGGCATAGATACATCAAGATAAGATAAAGAAACAAAAAAAGCTTAGCTAACAAAAAAGATAGAAATATTTAACTTTTTGACAAAACAAATTCATAATAAGACTTAGGAGGGAAACGGAAAGTGCTGACTGTTCCCTGCCTTCCTCAGCAGTTGGGTTAACAAAGCCTCCTTGGAGAACTGTCAGTCTTCAGATGCTTGACCATATCCATGTCTTCTGCGATGTCTTCCACTACAGTGTCTGCAGTCTGTAGTCCACCCAGCAGCGTTCTTTGACAGCCATGGTAATGAATCGATATATGTTGGTTGACTATGATGTTGCTCTGCTTTCACCACTGATATCTCATTTGATTCAGTGTGCTGCAGCTTGGAAGTCCTCTTCTTCTTTGAAGCACTTGCCCCCAACAGAGTTTCCCTGGTTGCCATTGAGTTTTATGAAGTCTCCTCCTCTTCCCTCAATGTTGAAGAAAACACAGGAAATAAAAAAATCTGGTAGCCTTGTCAGTTGATCAGAGGCAATAGGTAAATAGGAAACCTACTCATAAGTATATAAATCACAAATACAATTTGGAATTCATAAAAACAAACTACACGTGAGTCCACCAGGACCATTTCCTCCAGTACACCACATTAACAACTACATACAAAACTGACCCCCTGATCAAGTACACAACCTGAACCTATTTAAAACCACTGCCTTCAGCACAACAAGTTATTGTTTAACACTTCTAGCCTACTCAAACAACATTGCCAAATACTTCCTCTTCACAATATATGATCCCTCCTACTACACTGCTACCAACACCGAGTCTGAAGGGACAGTGGCGTCGTCCTATAATCCAGCTACTAGGAGGTCACGAAAAGTGGATATTTATGGGCATGCACTGTGGATGTGATACTCCCTGGTGTGGCTTAACCTCTGCACCAGTGAGTACTACAACTATCCGCAGTACTATCTTGGTAATTAGACCAATTCGTTAATACCAAGGCAAAAATGTGGTTCAGATTCCACTACAAATTGTAGATCCCTTAGTTGCCATTAGCTGTATGGGCTATTAATTAACAGCTGTGCCTAAGGAATATGTCGGCCGGCTTTAGTCACTAACAAGACTACAAGATCACGTCACTCATCCTACACTCATCCACCATTCATACTTGGCTTAAAATACCTAGCTTCGTATGGTCGCCATTTCAATGAAAAGTATTGAAAAATATTGTTTGGTATGATGAAATTGTTTGTTTGTTTTTTGTTGAATTGCATGTATTGTGTCTGCTGTATGTAATTAATTTATTTTGATGTTTTGACAACATTGCTGTTGCAGCAAAACAAGTCAGGAACATTATACTTACAGAGAGATTACAAAAATGCTATTTTGCCATAAAAGGAGTCCAGGGGCTATAAACTGTTGTGATTCTTTCTTAACAAGATTTGTTTACTAAAACCGAATCCCAAATTGGAGATCCATTCTACCTAAAAAATAACCTCTGCTGTACATATATCAAATAAATCCCACATTGTTAGGCTCATGAAACAGGCTACACAATTGATATGGTCAAAGTAATTTACCAGTTTACTCACCATGACGTGATACTGTTCGAAGCCTTCGATCGGCTCACTGACAATACTCTTGATGGAGTTCATGGGTATCTTATCCGTCCGCTCCTTGGTTCCAATCCACACCTGGTCCATCTCCAACTTGAACGTGAGTCGAACCTTGCCTCCACTTTTATTGAGCATACCGACCAGAGGAAATGGGGGAAGAGCTTCCTGGGAAAAGTATACTAATTCAAAAACCATGATTGCTTAAAGGATTATTACATACATCTTTCATCACACAAAAAACACATTTAAAGTGATAACTCATTTTTATAATTTCAAACCAGTTTTAACACCCTTTAAGATATACTACTATAAATATTAACTAATTTTTTATGTAATTTCCCTTGAGGAAACCCAGTGCCACCTGTTATCAACTGAATACGAGGTCTGTTCATTAACAACATGTAGGATAGTTGTCGATGGTCAAGGTCATTCCGATGATGACGGAGGGTGAGGACAATTGGACCTGGATGTCACATTTCGTCCAGTGTATTCTCCGCGCCAAGAAGCTCGAGCTTGACCGGGATGCAGTCTATAAAGGTCATAAAGGAATAGAATGCCAGAAACGGCCCTGAGGGCTTAGGTCAAACGTTGACCTGACCTGAAGTAATTTGACACACAATCCCAGGACTGTGCCCAACAGAGTAGGGGGGTTTTTTAGTGATTAGTCTGATAAGATCAGGAGTCTCACACTACAGGCTGACTACCTGTGTGCGTAAAAGCATTTTTACCTCCTCTCCCGAAAAATAAGAAAAAGTTCTTTGTCACCCACCAACCGTGAAACTGTGTACCTAAGTAGTGTTTGGCATTATTGTGCTAAGCAGAATCATGGAACGGGTACCTACTACAGTGATACTGCATTAAATTTGGACAACAACTGGGTGATACCCAAGCTTAAAAGATTCTTAAAATTCAGCAAGCCGTTGGAGAAGCTATGGGTGTAACAAAGATAAAAGATTGGTACCGTTACAGCAATTTCAAAGATGGCCGAACTTCGGTGGACAGTGAACCTTGTTCTGGGAGACTATCAACAAGTCAAAAACATGAAGTTATCGATCAAGTTTGAGTTTTAGTGATGGAGGATCAACGTATTACTGTTCGTGTTCTAGCCATGGAAGGTGGAATCAGTATTGGTTGAGTTCATTCAATTTTAATGGAAGATTTGGCTGTGCAGATCTGATGCAAAATTTGTCCCAGAGAACTTGACTGATGAACAAGAGGAATTGTGTCTTGAAACTAGGCAGCCCAAGACATGCTGGAATGCGTTCAGAACTAACCAAACCTTCTTAAATAAAACAGTTATAATTTGTGATGAGTTGTGGTTGTACGGGTATGATCGCAAAACAAAGGCACAGTATTCTTAGTGGAAACACTCATCATCGCTGTGGCCAAAAAAAGTAGTTTTGTTCTAAAACATTGTTCTGTTTTGTTTAATTTGAAACATAGGCCTACTGTATTTTCTTGGAATTTAATTAATATTTTTACTAGTTTTTATCTAGTCCTTATTGTATCCTGATTTCAGTTTCAGATTAAGCGGATTTTCAGATTAGCGGAGCTTTACTGTACGCTAACTTCCTTGAAAAATGAAACTATCTAATAATGTCACTAACCGAATAGTATTCAAAACTGAGAATTGATTTTGGCCAAGATTCGATAACTTACCAAAAATGGTACTGTTACATCACTAAACTCATTTTCTAAAGTTAAGATCTAAATAAACTTTGGAATTCATACTTTGGTGTCTTTGATTCCAGGCATGACGTCATCTGGTAGTCCCTTATCCAGTACTTTCCTGTGCATCTTTTGCCTACAGAAGGGTTCTTTGGTGGTAGTTGTGTTGCTATTATCATCTCCCGCAACATCCTAAAAAAATATTTGTTAATAGGTACTTCAATACCGTTTAATTGAAATGGTGATCATATGGAGGCAGGCATTTTAATTTGATTCGATTTATTTGATTTGATTTGATTTGTTGCTGACTAAGGCCGGTCTGACATGTTCCTTAGACATGACTGGTAATTAGTAGCCCATACAGCCAATTGCAACTAAGGGACCTACAGTTTATAGTGGAATTTAAACTAAATTTTTGCCTAGTAATTTATTAATTGGTCTAATTATAAGGATAGAATTGCGGGTAGTCGTGGTACTCACTAGTGCGGATGTTAATCTACACCAGGGAATACCGCATCCACAGATCATGCCTATATTAATATTCACGATTCGTGACCTCCAAGTACCTGGATTACAGGACGTTGCTATGGTCCCTGTCTAACAAAAAGTAAACTGAAAGAACAATGGGCCTAGATAAATTGATTTGTTTGGACTTGTTACGAGTGTGTCTAGGCTTACAGATTTTGTATAAAAAATCTGGGTTTTTAGAAAACTTACCAAATAGTTGTCAGAGATATGTAAAGTGTAAAATTTTGTGACGTTTACCCATATCACAACACAATCAAGTATAATGAAATTTACTTTTAGGCCTACAGTAGGTTAAACAAAATGAAAATATGTTGGTTAGTTGGTCCCAGTGGCTGAGAAACAGAGGAGGGAATTGCCCACCCAAAATCCTCATAATAACAACAAATCCTAAATTAGAACTAATTACCTTCCTAATAGGACACATTGATCACCTTTGTGGGCATAAAATTCTTTTCGGAGGAGGCCCCAGAGCCCTCTCTCACAGTTAACAATAACATTAAATAACCGACAACAGAACACCCAGATACCTCTAGCCTCACTTTTCATGCTCAAACTTTGAACGCAAGACTTTACATAACTTAGATCACAATATGAATATCTTGTATTGAGACAACTTTTTACTTCCCTGGTAAAAATGTAAAAAAGGTGTAATTACAATAAAACAATTGGTTTATATTAGGTATAAAATTCTGTAGAGTTCCTGGGACACCCAAAATCCACTAAAATTTTTAGGAACTCTTCTGGGAGATTGGGGTTCCAGAAGTGCAAATATGCTAAGATTTTACAAATCGGCAGATACATCAGAACTTTGTCACGTCTTTTTAAATCCATCTGATTGCATTTACTTCATCACACCAGGTTATGACGTAGTAATTTTTCAAATTACTGTTACAAAAAAGCCTTATAAAACTAATTTTCCTGCCTGGTTCCCATCTTAAAACAAAGAGACTAAGTATTCATTTGCCACAAACCTGTGAGCTATGTGTGGATACTGCTATGACATCGTTGAGTTTTGACCCCACCACCATCACCTTCATACCCTTTGTCACTCCCAACTCTCTCAATGTTCTCTCATCTTTGGCGAGTCCTTTGATCATTACCTTTTGCAATGAATGGGGAACACCTGAAACCGTTGATGATTAAATTACTAAATACACTCTTCTATTTCAAGAAGTATGACGATTGTTAAGTAGACGTAGAGTAGAAGTAAACAATCGTCAGCGTGTCCTACAGACAGTCTCGAATGCTTGCTAATGCTATATATAAATCCCTAAGTTTGGATTTGAAAGATAATAGTTACATTTGTTCAAAGTTGGATTTTAATACAATTAAATGGATTTTCAAGTCTACTGTAATTAAATTAATCAATTAACAATAAAGATTGATAAAGATAAAGATTGATTTGTATAATTTACCTTATTGGTTAGTCAATGTTAATATTAGTTAATTAGAGTTAATATTAGGCCTAAGCTACAGCTTTAACATATAGCCAGGTTTTCACAAGCCCCGTGGAAAGGCATGTTACCTAGATCATATAACTTAAAATACAGACTGAGGCAAGGCCACACTAAAAAAAACAGGCCGTAATGCTCGTCAAGCATGACGTCACGATAGAAGACGGCAATGATGTAATGTTTGACGTTTGTGATCAGCTGCTTGTTTCATCTTTTCTTCACATTACCTACGTCATTGCCGTCTTCTATCGTGATGTCATGCTTGACGAGCATTACAGCCAGTTTTTTTTTAGTGTGGCCTTGACTGAGGCCATTGCCGACTGGCCTTGAGCAAGTGATGTACTTAGATTATGGACTAAAAACCTGTAATATTTAGGCTTAGGTAACTAAGAATCTAGGTTACTTACAGATGAAGAGATTTAAGACAATCTGAATATGTTAATAAAAACTGCTCACCAATAACATCTTCTAGGTGTTTTTTAAGTTGACCTACATTGTCGTCGAGCGGGAACTGTACATCATGTTTATTCTTATTATAAATCACAGTAAAGTCTATTATTTCTGCGGCAGGCAGGTTAGGTTCCATCTTGATTGGTTCAATAGCAGTCTCTTTAGCATTGTTTTTTATCACATATTCACAGTTTGGTTTATTATTCACTTCGTCCTTGGCATCACCAGCATCACCTGCTAAAATATGAGAATAATATACAGTTTCTTTAAATATAGCATAGCTTATTTAGTTAATAACATTTTGTATGTCCGAGTAGACTAATTGTATAATAGCCTACCTGTAGGGCTAAAAAGGCAAAATTTTTCATAGCTTCATACTTTGGTATAGCTTTAAAAGGCTGGCCAAAGTTAATCAAAATTGTGTCAATTATTTCAAGCCAGGAGTTTACAGTAACTTACTAAGTTAAACTTGTATGTTGACTGAACCCAATACAGGAAATTGTATAGCCTAACAAAAAATCTACACACGTGTATCCATGGGTACTTTAACATCCATATTTTCTCCGCAGTTACATCAATTAACTTATCAATTCAATTATCAATCATTGAGATGGGGACGCCACCTAGGTGCGTATTTTAACCCAAATATGTGTGAAGGATGAGTGTAGAATGGTGTGTGATGACCTGTGTAGCTTTGTTACTAAGATCAGCGGTTTCATTAGTCAGGATCATTTATTAGCCCAATGATCAGGAACAGCTGGGTCCAGTTCGAACCATCAAAAAGCTACTGACTTTTTGACGTAGGTACTGACTGAAGCGAGCACTATAACCACTCAGCTACCCAGCCAGTCATACCGTAGCTAGGCTATCTTGAAACAGTAGGCCTACCTCTCTCACAGGCCCCAAAGCAGAACTACAGGCAACATTGTCAGAAAGAGATGTCTAGGGCTGCAGAAAGCGTAGCCTGCACCAAGTTTTGTTTGAATGAAAAATTACTTATTTTTGCAGGTAAAGTTAGGGCTGCATGGTATTTTCTTACACTTAATCTGTATCGCATCAGTTTCTGCAGAAAATGCTACATAACAAGTTAATAAAATAGTTTTTGCAGAGAATATTTCTGTAGAAAGTCTAAGTGCAGCTTTATTTTCTGCTGAAAAATTCTACGAACTGCAAACATTAACGCTAGCCTTCAAAACGTTAAGTTATGCATTACATAAACAAAAGCTGTGAGGTCAATGTATTAGGTTTATCGATCGTGAGTAAGAATGCATAGAATAACCTAATTACTTACTTAAGTGTTTCAATGTAGCCTAATTAGTAACTTAGCTTAGGCATATTTAAATGGACACGAGCGTTTGAAAACTTATTTATTTCCAAATATTCATTAAAATTATCACACGAGCGGGTCATTTATATGGAACTTGGACCGTGAAAGCCCTCAGAACATTTTTTGACTATCCCAAGTCCGTTGCAGAAAGTATAATACATTCTTCTTTGGGGAGTAGGCCTAAGCTAGCCTAAACTTATAGGCTAGGTACAGGTCGGCCAAAACAACTGTGCGCACGGACGGGTCGCTACTAGTTGAACTAAAACATAGGCTACTTGTTATTGGCAGTGCTGGGGGTATGGGTGAGTGAGTAGCAAGACACAAATGTTTTCACAAAAGTACCCCCGCCAACCCCCTTGCCTATACCCGACCAGATCTGGTCGCGCTCATAGAAACTTTGGCCAAACTGTATTTTTGTGGCCTTATAATTTTTCCATTGGTTCTCCTACAAAATGGATAAACTTAGTTTGATAAATTTTGTTATCCTTGTCTACGCCAAAGGCATTTAAAGAAAAAAGACGTTAGGTTAAGTTAAAGTGAGTAAGTTAGGCCTACCTACAAAACACTTTTAAGGAAAGGGGCCTAAACCCATAGGCCTACCTAAATTGTTTTGTTTAACTTAAGTTAAAGTTAAATTAAGATAAGTTATATAGGCTAGGCTATTTTAACATTTTGTAGAAAACTAATAACTTAAAATACGTACATTCACAGTAAACTTAATGTTTGACCAGTTTTAAGTAGCGGCAGCAAATGAACTGTTGTCAGTGTCTAGAAAAGTGCTGAGGCCATAGGCCTAACAGAATTTAAAAAGTCTTTTGTCCGGATGATCAAACAAAATTTCAACCAAGCAAACCCCCAACATGATCATAAATGGTCTAACCTACAGGGTTTTTTTTTTATAGGTCGGGTGCAGTTTCTTAACTGGGCTACGCTAATATCGATTGAAACTATCGATTCAATTAGTAAACCTTCATGCAATTTTTTCACCATCAGCAAGTTTGGTTGGTTAGGTTAGGCTAGGTTATGATAGTTTTATTTTATAGCCTAATAGATATATTTAAAAATATTGATTATTAATCAATATTTTCAATTCGATAGTTTCAAATTATATTAGCGTAGCCCAGTTAAGAAACTGTACCCAATAGGTCCACTTGAACAGACCTAACTTATGACTTTTGGATTAATATGCCTAAGTTAGGCCAAGCCTATGTAGGCCTAGCCTACATTGAATTAGGCTTACAGTAGCAAGTATTTGCATGTTTTGGTTACTTAAAATAAAACAAACTTAAAGTACCCTTAGGTGGGATGATAAACTGGTACTGAGTTCAATAGTTACTATTTTTGTAAAATATATTAAACTTGAAAGTAAAAGATCCAGTCAAGATGACACAGCTCTCAACAGATGATATTTCTAACCTAAAAAGGCACTGGGTGGGTATTATCTGTAAAAAGATATACCTGGATTTTCCATATTTCTGTAACTGATTATAATTTCAATCTGAATACTATTTAGTTTAAATATATATATACTCAAAAGTCTAAAATAATCACGTAGAATTCACGAAAATGATGAATAATCAGGATTTTGTTGAACAATAACAACCGAGTCATTAAACAAAAATTCTAGTTTTCACTGCCACCTTGATACCATTGATAAGTAAACACAGATGTTTGTAAATCGCACGATCGTCACTACAATGTTAAATGATTACTATATTAAAATATAATTAACATAAAATAGGAAAATACGAATGCCACTATATTCAATATTTCACATTACGCGAGGCACATTTTAATCTAAGGTAACATATGGTAATATCATTGATTATTTAATCTATGGTACCGAAAATTTAGATTAAACATATTTCAACGTGTCTCAACTCAATAACTATATTCAAGATACGGTGTACACTATTTCCAAATCCAAGTATCCAAAGTCAATGTCAGTGGATTTTTTTAATATTTGAACATTATCATGTAACAGATTCATTATAATGTTATACACTACAGTATATTTATTTTATTTGTTTATTTATTTATTTTATTCCACTGGCAAAACCATTACATAACAATCCAACTAAAAATGGCTTGGTACTATTAACATACTTTACTATTACCATAGATAAAACATACTCCTTTTATTACATTTATTATGGCATGAGCCCTCCGGAAAATTATTCGGGGTTTGTTAGGGTTGTATTTTTAACAAATAACGATTAACAAGATAAGTTATGAACTTTCAAGAAGTGTTTCTACACGACCAATGGCCAAAACAAAAAGCATACTTTTACTCATAGTGAAATGAAATGAAATTATATTTATTCGTCGTGCCGGTTCGAGACATCCTCGTTCTATCATGAATACATTTGGTACAATATCCTGTTCTATCCAAAGCCAAAGCCCATGAAGTGAAGTGATATTGTTTATATATCACATAGCTCTATCTAACACCATAGATTAAACATACTCCCTAGGGGAGTATGTTTAATCTATGCTAACACTATCATAGACTCAGTAACCAACACAAGAATGTTTTGTCACTTTTATCTATGGCTCTGGCTCTATAAACCTTACTATAATACTGTGCTCAGATAATTTACCTAGTAGGCCTATCAATCTCTGATTAAGAGTGTGGTGTGACTTTATGTGTTATGCCTTCAAAATTTTGGCAGTATGATTAGTGAAAAAATTGAAACAAAGCACGTACCTGACGTACCTTGTTTACTGTATGATGATAGTAAAATCTGATTATTATCCATCCATGATTCTTTCTCCTTGGTCATAACAAGAGGTCAGAAGGGTTTGGCCTGATATAGTCGTAACATATCAAGGGCTCAGGCTTCACTCATCAGTGAGTGAATACCCCATTCATCATTCCCCATATGACTGAGAAGAATCATAAGTAACCGAGGACGAATTCGGGTTGTAGTTGGAACTATGTGCAAAAATACAACCGAGAACTAATCCCTGTGATTTTGGTAAAATGCGTGATAAATTGTTCAAACAATTTTACAATCGTTTTACTGGTTACGTATAGTTGGTTTTAAATTAATACTACAAAATATTTTCCTAATTAAAGTATAACAACGTTAAAATAATTATTAAATTAATACACACTGCTTCAAAGATAGCTGCTCTTACTTCTGCTACGATCTAGCGGCGAAGCTGGAACTAGCTTGATGCGTCGACACTGTAGAGTGTAGATCACGCTTTTGAGTACAGCTAGGAATATAAGGTTTTTTTTTAGATTTAAAGTTTATAAAAGTTATAGTTATTATCCAAGATATAATTGATTAATTATAACACATTATTAATGCCGAAGTACGTTACTTTCATTTCCAACCATACTTTAACTTCATCATACTATTTTAAACTTTTTTACTATTTTTACTTATAACCTGTTATTATTGCCTGTTTGTTATTGTTTGCATTGCCTGTTATTATTGTCAGTTAGTTTTTGTTTGCATTTATTTCCTTGTATAGCATGATTACAAAACTTTATTCAAGTACAATTTTGTATTATTATTTCATTGCATTAGTAATGTAGTGAGTAGTGTTATTGTAAATTAGGCCTTCTTGTATTTGCTCGTAAAAATAGTGTAACCGTGTAAAATAAATAAATAAACATAATTATACATCAAAACTCAAAATTGAGGATCATTATTTTCTCATATTTAAAACATATTCCATTTTTAACAAATTAGACATTGACATTCTTATTATTACCCCGTAAAAATGTATTTACTATCGGACGGCTGAAAAACATGTATACAATCGGTTGACTAAAAAAATCCCCCATACAACTTATAATAGCAATTGGTGCAACCTAATAGCCTAGAATATTTTGTCATGGTAAAAAATTCATAGTTAGTGCACATTTCTCATCTTTATCAAAATACAAAAATTTTTAAAGTGTAAAATTTTGCTAATTTATCCACAATACTAATAAATACTTTAAATACTGTAGTTTAGATTATCTTATACGTTTCATGCATTGTTTACAATATACAATATATCGAAATGCTACTAAATTAATACAATTTTTAAAAAACAATCCCCCCTCGTCATGAAAATAAATCACTCAATATTTGAAAAAATCTCACTCAGTAACTTATATTTGTATAGGCAACTAAAACTGTTATTCCTTTGTTATCTATTCCTTGAATACTGTACTTATTAGTATTACTTCCTTAAAACCCATAATGGTTAAAAGGTAAACACCGTATCTTTTATAATTATTGTGAATAAAATGTTCAAGAGATAAATTAAGGATAAAATAATAATACGTTAGCTCATACGGTACGGCTACGATCTAGCGGCAAAGAAATGAACTCAGTCAGTGTCTCATAAATCCCAATAGATTCGCCGACAGCTGCTGCGCTCTAGCAACAAGTCTTACAACTGACTGCGCTTCAACAATCCGGGAATCTCCTCCACTGCCGGCCGGAACTCGTGGCGTAGTTCTGTAATCCAGCTACTTGGAGGCCAGGTGTTTGGATTGTCTCTGTCCCCGGGGTCGATTCCCAGTCTCCAGAAGTAGAGTCAGCGACCGCAGTGTCGAGGGCAGGCTGGGTGCGAGGCATGGACGAGTAAAGGACCGTCCCCCGCACAGGGAGGTGTAGTGAGCCCCAGAGAGGACGCACCTAGGTGGACCAGCTGATGGACTGGCACCTCCTGGGCAGAGACCCAGGCCCGTTGGTCGGACTGTGAGGTTGGACAGCCGGCTATTGTGCTTGCCCTAGGACTCTTCTGGTGGACAGGATAGGCCTAGGCGACGGAGTCGAGACACTCACCTTTTGCAACTGAATGTTTTATAATGACAAGCAAAATGACTCTATTTTTTTCGTCAACCATAAATCACCATAATTTTTTTTCTAATTTCAAACTGCGTAAAAATCTCAAGAATAACATCTATTTGACTCAATAGTAAAATAGATTTGTCAGTAGTAAAATGCACATAGCTGTCTATATTATACTAGCTGCTGTACCCGTGCTTCACGACGGATAGGGGAAGATGTACTGTACCGCCTAATCCCAACACTCGCTAAGTAGCTCGAATTTATAAACAAAAAGCTACAAATTTTGTACAAATAAGTACAACCTACATTGTAATTGTCCTACTGTTTACATAAAAATATATCAATAACATTATTCTTTTAGCTTAGGCACTTTAATAAATCGAATGCAGAGCCTATGGGTAGACACAGCAAAGGTTATAGAATCTTTTTAATTTCCATAATCAATGACATTGTTTTAGAATAAATAATCTATGAAAAGATTTCAGACTAAATAAACCTACTACATAGTTGTGTAATAGCTATTTACATTACAAGTGTAGTAAGAGCGTTTTTACATCACGCAGGTGAAAGTTGTGCAACGAGCGAAGCGAGTTGCATAATTTACCTAAGTGATGTAAACACGCTCTTGCGTAACGTGTAACGTACAAGATTTTACCTGACCCGACAATATACAGGAGGTTACGAACAATATTTTTCATTACCCATTTCACTCATCTTATAACAGTAAGGTTCATTTACAAACAAAAGCTAGGTTAGGAAAATTCTCCAAAACATAACAATAACAATAAAATTCAAGCACACAGCTGATTTCTAGCGTTAAACGTCGTTGGCTCCATAGAGTTATATTTTTTAAGTTATCCACTCAATGTTATTTAAATGGGTTTCATTACATCACCGAGTGAGTTTTTTGATACTTTACATCACTCGAGTAGTAAGGAAGTTGTATACATCACGCTTAGGATAGGGAAGTTTAACATGGCGGGTTAGGTAAAATATTATATTTAATTTGTTTGTATCAGCTGTCTGAAATTGTGAAATAAACATATGACAGTTCTGATTGTTTACATTTTTTTACAGCATTTTATTATTCTGGTTCAATGAGTATATTATTCACAGAAGTGTTAACAAAATAAACAGAAATTAACAATAATAACATCGTGTTTACATTAAAATGTCAACGCAAAGGTAAACTTTGTGAATTTTCTCATGCTTCCATACTTTTGAAAATCTCCCCTCAAAACTTTGAACATCCAAGAGGCGTAGCGATGATAAAATACTATATACGATTTTTAAGGTCAGTTGCATAAAATATTTTTATTTTAGCTGGTTAGTATTGTCGCTTGTAGCTATTGGGGCTTTTCCATCGTAACAAATCTTTGTTTTTTTACGTCGACAAAAGCAAAAAAAGACAGTAAACAATTACTTTAGCATAGTAGCTTTAGCCATAGTAAACAATGTGATAATGCATTTTTGGTGATAAACATGTAACGAAAACAGGTTATTTCACAGTAGTGTAGCGAAAATGTACATTTTGATATTCTTGACTTCAATTGATTCAATTTTTGAAGTTAAAAATAACTACATTAAGCTGTATTTACATAAATCAGCTAGTTTTGCTTTAGAGAGACGAATATTAAATTGTCAATTCAGCCGACTTTGCTGTCGTCATTTGATGTCCAGCATCATGTCACTCCCCAGAACAACAGGTAGTGTCTGGGTAGCCGAGTAGTTTTAGTGCTCGCCTTCAAATCTTAATGTTGCTGGTTTGATTCCAAGTAAGTCCGTTAACAAACCCATATACAATTTGTCGTTGGACTGTC